TAGCGACACAGCGCATGTACATAACACTTATACTAATACATGTGCAAAACGTCGCAGCGCAAGCACATGCAGTTTATATTAAGTGTGCATAAACATATTTGACTAGCCAGCACATTCCACGACGCTTATCGCGTGGTGTCTAATTCCCGTTGCATAAATATCGCAACAAAGTATGGGAATAAACTGAAGATTATTTATGTGCTGTGTCAATATGTGTATGCGCACTACACCTCCCCTTTTTAGAGGAATAATGTAATAACTATGTTAAGAAATTATTCTCTAAGATAAATGTTATGTATATTAATGTAAGTTAATAAGTTAAGTATGTTAAGTTATACATTTTGTGTCAAAAATTTTATTTAATTAATTTTTTTTTTTTTTTTAATTTTATAACATCATTAAATCTAATTAATTAACTAAATCTATGAAAATAATTATTCATTAAATAATTTTAACCTATCCTTATGTACCATTTGTGTTTTCCTTTTATTATTTTGTATTACTACATTACCTTTTTCGACTAAATTTATTACTGTAAAAGGTCCTACGTATTTATTGTCTAACTTATGTCCTGCTTCATTTTTTAATAATACCTTATCTCCTACGGTTAGCTCTATATTTCTTGTTTCCTTATCATAATTTTCTTTTTGTTTTATTTTGGCCTTTTCGAGAAGCATTTTTGCTCTAGTATAGGCAGTTTCTAATCTAAATTTTACTTCCTTACTATAATCTTCTATATTATAAATAGGATCTACTTGGGTTATTTTACTAAATGTTTAAAAGTTATTAGGAACTCTTCCATAGACCAACTCGTATGGACAATATCCATGTACACTTGAAGGAGTGGTGTTAAAACAATACGTAAAGTATTTTATCCACTCGTCCCAATCACTTTTATCAACATTAATGTACGATCTAATGTACTCGTTGAAAGTTCGGTGACTGCGTTCAACAGTCCCTAGTGTTTGGTGGTGGTGAGCAGTCGATGTAACATTGTTAATTTTTAAATATTTACAAAGATCGGTCATTATTGAATTTTTATATTCTGTTCCCATGTCCGTAATGAACGTCTTCATTGGGCCATGTACCAGTATAAAATTTTCAAATATGGCCTTAGCGATCGTTTTTGCGCTTTTATTTGGTACAGGTATTGTTACCAAATATTTAGTTAAGTCACATATAATAGTGACGGCGTATTCATTGCCATTTTCCGTTTCCGGTAATGGACCAATGGTATCGATTAGCACAATATCAAACGCATTGCTAGGCGTTTCTGTCAACGTTAGTGGGGTTTTTGAATGTCTTATAGTTTTGGACATTTGGCATTGCTTGCATGCCTTAATGTATTTGGATATATCCTTTTTCATATTCTTCCAGTAAAAATATCTCTTGATTTTTCCGTACGTACGTGTAATTCCTGTATGACCACCTTCTGCGGGGTCATCATGATATCTCGACATTGTACTAAGTATTCCTTCCTTTTCTCTTTCGTTTATGATGGTCACCTTAGGTAGTAGCGCTATTGTTAACTGTCTTAATGCAGTATTGCCCGTTTTTTTAAATAATTGTTGCGAAACAGATTCAAAGATTTGTTCGCTAGGTGCCATTTGAACTTGAGTGATTTTCCGTATACCGGCTTCTTTTTCAAGCCGTATGAAGAATTGATTTAGATCAAATTTTCCATTTATATACAAATCGTCAATATATATTCGTGTTATAACTGTTTTCCCATGCTTTAAATAGCATTTATTGGTAGACAATTTTAACCTTACGAATTTTTTAACGTCATTATATTTAATGACTTCATAAACGTTGGGCTTATATTTTATTTTCACATTATTTAAACTTAGTGTGTCGTTACCTGCGCAGGTTTTTTTACTTTGTCGAGTTTCGGATCTGGTAGTAACTTTATATATTTTATCCATTTGAACAGTTTGTTCTTTTAGTTGTTCCATTGTAATTCGTGAAAGTGTGTCTGCAACTTGGTTTTGCTTCCCCTTGAGGTATTCAACTGTAAAGTCATATTCTTCCAGGTCTAACCTCATTCTTGTTAGTTTAGAGGTTGGGTTCTTCATGGAAAATAAATATGATAATGGTCTGTGATCTGTTTTGACCAGAAATTGTGTCCCATAAATATACGGTTTAAAATGAAGTATCGCCCAGTGAATTGCTGTGAGCTCTTGCTCAATAGTAGATTTATTACTTTCCCCTTTTGTAAATGTTTTTGATGCAAATGCAACTGGAAGTTGAACTCCGTCATACTCTTGACTGAGTACTGCACCGCATGCAACTTTACTTGCATCAGTAGTGATGCAAAATTGTTTTGAAAAATCGGGGTATTGCAACAGTGTGGGTTTTAGTAATTCCCTTTTTAGATGGTTGAATGCCTCATTGCATTCTGTTGTCCATTTAAATTCTACATTTTTCTTGCAAAGTTGCGTTATATAACGCGAATAATAAGAAAAGTTTTTAATAAATCTTCTGTAATAGTTGCAAAATGCAACGAATCGTCTAGCACCGTCAGCGTTTATTGGTATGGGATAGTTTTTTATAGCTTCATATTTTTTGTCATCCGGTAGGATGCCTTTATTTGTACACTTATGCCCTAAATAAGTGACTTCGTGCATAAAAAATGAACACTTTTCTGGATGTAATTTCAGGTTATGCTTTCGACATAGTTCGAAGACCTTTGTTAAATTGTTCAGCATGTGCTTTTCAGAACATCCTATTACAATCAAATCATCCATATATAGAAAAGCTTCAGTTGGCTCTAGGCCAGAAAATGCTAACGTCATCATACGCTGAAAGGAATTTGGTGCTAATTTTAGTCCGTATGGAAGTCGTTTGAAACGATACGAACCAGTACTAGTTGAGAAAGAGGTGACATCTCTTGATTTTTCGTCAAGTTCGATCTGGTGAAATCCGGACATTAGGTCGAGACATGAAAAATATTTTGCTCTTCCCAATTGATCGAGTATGTCTTCTATTCTAGGGAGTGGAAATTTGTCTGCTAGTAATTTTTTATTTATTTGGCGGTAGTCCACTACTAACCGCCATCTTTTCGTGTTTGAATTGGGTAAAGATTTTTTCTGCACTAGTAAAAGTGGGATATTGTATTCGGACTGGGATGGTTCCACTAAACCGTCGTCTACTAATTTTTGGACTTGTTTCTTAATTTCGTCCTTATACGCATATGGGGTTCTATAATTCTTAATATATATTGGTTCATCATCTTTAAGTCTTATTTTTTGTTTATAAAAATTATTTGTTGTTATTGGTTCTGATTCGAGTCCAAAGACATCACTGTAACTATTGCATATCTTAGTTAATTGTGCTTGAAATTGTTTAGGAAAATTTTTACTAAGTAATGAGAGTACTTCACTTTTTCGGTTTTCTTGAATTTTATTATGGTTTGTTATTTGGTAATTGGAAAGACTTTCTGTCTGAATACTATTGAGACTAAGTGTTTTATTTGTTGTATTCGTATTTATAATACGAATAAATGGGTTTTTGGTATTAACAATTGTATTGGCAATCAGTATACCTGGTTGCGGTTCCTGATTGACTACTAATACTTGGTTTTCTTCCGAGTCAACGTGTACCTGTCTGATTACTTCAGAACGTGCTGGTAAAATAATTTTGTTCGTATTAGAGTGAAGTATCGGTAAGTGAATGTTCAGACATGGACTATTGGGTCTTAGTATCAACCAATCTTGTTCCTTGTTGAAATCTATTAGACAATTGTACTTTTTTATAAAGTCCATGCCTAAAATTCCATCACAAGGAATAGGGAAATTTTCGTGTACTACATGAAATTCATGTGATACCAGAAATTTACTGACTCTGAGATCTATACATGTTGATCCTAATGACTCTATTGTACCTTGCCCTATACCTGTTATACGTGTGGTGCAAAGTGTATTCAAGGAGTACTCAAAGTTAATTTGTTTTAATAAGGAAATTTCAGCACCTGTATCAACTAGAAGTGTTAACAGTTTATTTGTGTTATTGTTATTTACCTGTATAAAGATGCTTAGACTTAGATGAATATTATATACTTTTTTTAGTTGGTTAATTATTGATTTCTCAAGGGGACATTCGGGTTTTCCGGATCCTGATCTTCCCGTGCAATCACTCGCACATACCTGTTTCCAGGATTCCCACCATTATTGTTTTGGTAGTTCCGACGTCTGTAGTTGTTGTTTTGCCAGTTATTGTTATTGTTGGCATATCGATTGTACCTAGGTTGCCTTCCAGTGCCGCGATAATTGCCACGGTAATTTCCACGATAATTACCGCGATTATTGTGCTGAAATGCGCCGTTAGATTGTGATCTGTAATGAAGAATTGTGTCTTCTTTTCCTGTCGCATTTGTGCAGCTAGTGACGAACTTAGTTACTGCATCGCTCATTGTTTTGAACTGACCGGCTTCCATTATCAGTTTAACTTTCTCTAATGAGCAATTCTTAGTCATAGCGTTGACCGCTTGCTCGGTCGAGTATTTTTCTGCTTGTTCCCGAGATAAACCATCTGAAATGTATGCACATTGTAGAGATTTTGTTAAAGATTCTATTTCTTTAACATATTGGTTAGCCGTTTTACTCCTTTGCTGTATGTTCATTAGCTTGGCTGTGAGTACTGATACCGACTCACCTTTAACAGTGGATTTAAGTTTATCTGTTATTTGGCTCAATGATACTTCATTCTCTATCAGACTTCTTGTTGCTCCTTTAAATTTTGTCTTCACAAGGGCTACAGCTGTTGCTTCATGACCATCCTTAAAAGTATCGACGATAGATAGAGCATCTAGAAAACTTTGCAAATTTTCTGGTGTTCCGTCAAAGTCAGGGGTGACTTTGGTCGCTGTGTTTAGGAATTCTACTACTGTCATAGGCATTTTGATTTCAGAGTCTGGGTAATTAGAAGAAGAGTCTGAGTCTATGTTTAATTCTATATTAATAGAAATTTTTTCATTTAATGTTGTGGGTATTTCAATATTGATGCCTCTTTTTAAGGTAACTTTGATGGCTTTTTCACGGAGGTCTCCAAAGATTTTCCTCGCTTCCGCTTTGTGTGCGGTTGTGAACCTATCAAAGTGTACGTTTAAAAGTACCCGAATACTTTCTAAACTTTGTAATAATAACGTACAGTGTTTGTGTAGTGTTGTAGCACTAACAGGTCTGTCTATTGCCATACATTTATATGACTTGTTAAACGTTTCTTTTAGGAAGCGTATTTTATTCAATATTGTTTGCCATTCCATCAAACAATATTATTTTTCCAATTGTAAATTAAATTTACGAAAATCTTAACAATTTGGGTGCATAAGTTATATTAAACTATTTAAATTTTACAGATAATTCTATAACATAGCCATTATAAGCTAAAATTCAACTATTATATAAAATTTAATATTAAATTTTCTTATACAACTACAGATTGGGAACTCAAAATTATAGTAAAAATATTCTATATATTTTAAGTATTAATCCAGTAATGAATTTTTAACTAAATGCAGCAAAGAGAAGAGAAAAAAAATTACTAAACTGAAATTGAGCATTTTAAATATTGTCTGTTGAAACTGCACGTTTCATATATTTCCTTTTAATTGAAGCTCTGTACGTTCCTATTAATTTGAGAACAATTTGTCCTATCACTATAACAACAAGAATTAGCAAAAGGAAATTTGTGGTTTTTAAATCGCTTAGATCTGTTTGTACTTCCACTTCATTAACTACATTGGCCTGAGGCCTGTCGAACTTGGCTTTTGTGCCACACATTTCCAAATAATATTAATTAATGAAGATAAAACACATATAACACATAAATATAAATATATATATGAAATATAATTAATGGAAAGCTTATTGTTAACGTTAAAATAAAATTAGTACATTCAAGAATAATAAAAAAAACTTATGTATATAAAAATAATATTTAAAGATTTAAAAGTATTTTTATATATAAAAAATTATCTAACATTTTTTTTAAAGTAATTTCCAGAATATAAAAAAATATTATTGATTTTACAGGTTATTTCAAACTAATAAAATTTTCATTTCTATAAAATATATATTTTTTTTTTTTTAAATTTTTAATCTACTTGCTTGCATTCCCTTATATTTGGCATTATGTAGCAGCTGTTGTATTGCTGTGGTTGATGACTGTGACTTTTCCTTTTTGCGAGTGGGAAAAAAAATTTGTGCACCGTTATTTGTTTCATTTCACACGCTTGTCGATAACTGTTTTTTTTTTTTTTTTTTCACAAAATGGTTTTTTATTCCTTGGAATAAATATTTT